TAGAACTACCCCATAGGGTATTCTAAAGGAGCTCTGGTAGCGTAGTGCTTACAGGCTGCTAACCTCAAGGTCGGCAGTTCGAAACTACTACTCTGCGGGAGAAAGAGGAGGCTTTCTGCTCCCGTAAAGATTTGCAGCCTCGGAAACCCTGTACAGGGTCACTATGACTCAGAACCGACTCCACGGCACATCACAACAACAACAACGTAGGGTATTCTAGGCTGTAATCTTTTTCTTTTAAACTTCTTATTGTGAATTGAAGGAGCTCTGGTTTCGTAGTAGTTACAACTTGGGCTGCTAGCCTCAGGGTCAGCAATTTGAAAGTACCAACCCTTCCGCAGGAGAAAGATAAAGCTTTCTGCTCCCGTAAAGATTTACAGCCTCGGAAACCCTATGCAGGTCGCTATGAGTCAGAACCCACTCCACGGCACACACAGCACACCACCACCACCATTGTGAAATGAGTGAAGGTTTACAGCCAAAGTCATCAGTTTTACCTGCAACAAATCATGCGCTTTGTTTCATCTCAATGACTTGCGATCCCGTCCACGAAACAATAATTATCCAACTTCTTCCCTGTGGTTCCCATTTTCATCCCATCCACCTTCCCATCACTTCTCAATTTAGTCCCCAGGTAAATGCTGCCCTGTTGATTTGAAATGACTGAGCATACCTTCCTAGTGTTGTTGTCTCCTCTATATAACCTATTTACTGTTTGGCTGAAAACTGGACTATGAGGGTGATAGATCTTTATGGGAATACATCCCCAGGTCTTTCTAGGCCTCTGCCATTGTTGGTAAGAGCCATTAGTCTGTTCTGATTGATATAGGGTTTCCAAGGGCCAGCTGGTGAGTTTGAACTGCCGATCTGGTGGTTGGCAATCTAGTGTTTATCTTACAGTGCCACACCAGGACATTTTCCCACAAACTTTTTGAAGCATTTGTGTTTGTTTTAATTATGGCATTTAATCTGTAGGTTTTCAGAATAAAGGGAGTTCTTACTGATAGGCTTAATCACCCTATTGTTGTTGTTAAGTGCCCTAGAATCTGTTCTGACTCAATTGACCCTGTGTTGAGTTTCTGCACCTGGAAAGCTTTATTGGAGCAGACATCCTCATCTTGCTCCCAAATCACCTTATACGCCTTCTTAAAGGCGTATAATTGAAGTTGTGATTTTAGGAAAACTGTTCTACCTTTGGACAAACAATATAAGGGAATCTCAAGGTTGTGTTCTTTCACCATACTTATTCAACCTGTATGCTGAGCAAATAATCTGAGAATCTGGGTTCTATGAAGAAAAACGTGGCATCAGGATTGGAGAAAGAATCATTGACAACCTGCGATATGCAGATGATACAACCTTGCTTGCTGAAAGT